AAGAGAAAAAAAAATGTCCGCGAATGTAATATAGAGGAGTAGAGGGCGGGAACTCAGTGTATTATGGGGGCATGTAGGTGTCTTCTTTGTTGAGACAGATCAGATGCTCATTCCCTCATTCTATTAGGGGATCTTTCATGATGGTCTATCGAGGATCGTCTACAGTGGAAGAAGGTCCTTGGTCGTGGGGGCCAGTTTGGTCGAGTCTGAGACGTTAACACGAGGAGACCGCGAGACCCAAAGACTAGTCTTAAAAACTACTAGGCAAGCAAACATGGTGGGAATCACCTGTGGTCAGAAATTTTTTTTTTTTAAAAAAAAAGAGTAATAATACCTTCTCTTTTAGAAGGGACAGTGCGTTTTTGAGTTACTCTGTTTTATTTTTGTTTCACGTCGCTGTTGGACGATGATGACGCTTGCTTAAAATATATATATACATATATATATATATCCGCCCTTTTCAGGCGTCCATCCCTTCCATCCCCTCACCACCTCCAAAAAGAAATGAGAAAAATAAGAAAAAGTGCATTTTTGCCCAACCTGTGAAAATGCATGGTTTTTTGGTCTTCTAGACATAAGAGGGGAACAAAAAAGGGGGAGGCAAAAAGAGAATATATTGAGAAGACAAGAGAAGAAATGAAAAATGAAAGTGTCATGCGCATGTGTGGGTGGTAAGGTTGCCATCAACTAAGTGGAAAGGTTCAGGTTCTCTTTCTCTCTTTTTTTTGTTGCCTCGAAGTGTTGGGAGAGGAAGTAGGAATGTTTCGTGCGTAACTTGTCCTGTCTTCTTTCCCCTCTCCCCCAACACTCTCGGATATTTCATGACGGTTAAGGTCGTTCGCTTCGTGGGGTATAAGTTGTTTTTATTTTGGGTAATCAAACGCTCCAGGCAATGGTGGGGGAAAAAAACTAAAAAAATAAAAAAACGCCAGCTCAAAATGCTGCAAAAGGCTCCGTCACAAGGGAAACAGTTCCATCCAATAAGTAGGAGAGCAGAGATGCTACATGCTCGATTCTCCAGTTTTAAACGCCGCAAGACCAGAATGTAAGAGATGTGGTGGTGTCATACATATATGTCAATATCATGTATTTTTGGTTGGATTTTTGTTTTGTTTTGTATTTTTGTCAGGTATAATCGAGTAAAGACATGGTTCGAAAGTAAGGTTGTTGTTTTTGTTGTAACAAGGGGCTCGCATAGTTTTTGTTTTGAGCGTGGGTCGGCTCTGATTATGAGGATGCTCGTCGGCGTTTCCAGTCCCGGACTTTGTCGAAGCTACCGGAGTAGTTCTCTAATTCACTTCTGGCCTGACCGGACAAAGCAGAGGCATTCGAAGAGACGCTGTGGAGAGAGGAGAGGGACGTTTGCGAGGAGGATGGAGTGAGGCCCTTCCAAGCAGAAGATAGCAATGATGGCGACGAGGTGTTAGGCTGGATATTATGTGGTGTTTCTTGGTGGTGTGTGGAGGAACTGGGGAACCTGTAGCCACCAAAATCTATGGCCAGACCCAGGTGTAGAGGCGATGGGTGTTGTGGCTCCGCATGCTTGGAGGCCACCCATGGACTTTGGAGAGATGTTGATGTAGCGCCAGGAGAGGGAGAAGAAGGTTCGGAATCCGCAGCAGCACAGCCATCCATTTCTGCCAGTCGACAGGCCTGGGAGCAATAAGCCCCTCCCAGCGTCTGTCTATCGCAGACCAAACAAAAGTCTAGTGACCAAGAAGTCGCCATTGGGAGTGCCGAGCTACGAGCCAGATAAAGGGCTAGCCTTGGTTTGTCTCTGTCGCCGGAGCCTCTCGTGCGCTGGTATGTTTATATATGGAATGTGGTGAGGGTTTTCGAATTGCGAATTGGAGGAAGGAATTACGAGCGGGCTGTCCTTGAAGAAGTATATTCGACAGAAGGTGAAATTCGAGGGAACGATGGCGTGAGTCACTCGGATGACGAGCTAGGAGGAATGATGTGCAGATGTCGTCCAAGGGGGTGTTTGTACTAAGGATAGATACTGTTGTGAGGTGGAGAACGTTCAAACAAAGCAAGCGAGAGTGATACTGTTGAGATGCTGGGAGTGCGAAGAATCGACGGGGAAGGAGAGGGATATATAGTGAGGGAGCAATAATAATATAATAGTAATAAGATAAACAGACTATGAAGGGAAGGGAAGTGGCATGGATTATGTTGTATTTGATATGTCCAGACAGGCACACAGACATACACTTGGGACAGGTGTTCAATGCAAGCCTACTGACTGAGAGTTATATAGATGGAAAAGAGTCGCCATATCAGAACCAGGACGAGCACCACTCCATATATCCACAATCCACCAGCGTCGTTGTTTTTTTAGTGTCCTTCTTTAGGCTTTTTCTCCTCCAATTTTCCTTCATCCATCCTTTTGCTTTTTCTACGTTCTAAAAAAAAAAGCCAAAGGCTCACGCCAGCCAATGCTGATTGGCCGGCGGGCCTGGCGCAGGGAAACCCTGGCGGCTGATCCAGGCTGCGGCGTATCGACCAATACCGGCCGTACCGTACTGTCCTGTACGCTGTGGGCAGGAATACCTGGGCCTGCTGCTGCGTCAAGGATCCAGCGCCCAGCACACAGCGCCCAGCAACTTCAAGACTAAGGACAGGACTCAGCCGGTGCGTGGCCCCGAATATTTCCTGAGTGAGACCAATGACGTGCGTCTCGCTGAGGCCAACCCCAGGAGATGCTGTTGGTTCAGCCAATCCCAGCCAATCCCCCTCCCAGCGTGTACGATGTTCCCCCTCGCTTCCTGGCCGTCCCGTCGTGAGATGCCCTGGGCTGCGGATCCCGCATCGCAAACCTGGGCCGATTTGGTGTTGGCGTGGATCCTTACAGCAATCCAGAATGGTGTGTTTGGGCTACCTGCCGCCAGGGGGTTTCCTCTAGTATCATCTCTTACACAAGGTCGTCTGATTACGATCAAGTTACGTATGGCACGAAAACAAAAAGGTTCTTTTTGATGGAGCATGTTTGTTTGAGCATTTTCGTGGGCCCTCTTTCATCATCCATTCCCGTCCCGTCAAAGTTTTGAATTTTCTTCCATGCCCTTTTTTTCAAACAATGGGCGGGCGGGAAGATGTAAGCCACCATTTTCACTTTTTCCTGGCACCCACAAAAAGCATGGCAAAAACAAGAAAACAGAAAAGGAAAAACATCAAAGTTACTACCAGGCGACACAAGGTTCCGGTGAGGAGATGGGAGAATCGACGTACAGACACACTCCTCTATGACTCCGGTGAGGAGGCCCATTCATCCAGGAACAACTCTAAAACACACAAGAGTCTCGGTTTCACCAGCCAGCTCCCGGAACTTCCCAGGTTTGTTCCAGGCACGGCCAGTATAATCTCGCTCCCAAAACAGCAACAAGGTACATGCACCCTTGGAAAACCGCTTCGCCTGGAACAACTCATCGTCCAAGCGCTCATGTGTGTTCTTTCCCAAGGCCCCAAGATTGTTTCAACAAAGCTTCAACTTTTTCCCGGGTGCTGTTGCGTAGGTAGTGGCATGCATTCTCTCCACCTCTGGGATTCATACAATCAATTCAATTCGACAATATTGGGCTGGAACTGTTGTGTGGTTGGCCAATCCTTCATGCTGCCCCGCTGTCCTTATATGGCTCCTAACGTGCTTGTACCGAAAAGATCTCCACTGGAGGACCCGTGGATGCGCCAAGATCGACTGAGAATAGAAAGCAGCGTGTCTGTTCTGCCTCGTCCATTGGCTTGTCGATGGTCTCAGCTATCTCAGTGCATTGGACGGTAGTTTGGGCCTTTCTTCGTCTGGCCTTAAACAGTGCCAGCGGTACCATAGGAGATCTAACCAGAGTTGAGATGGCTAAATGATGATACGTTTACTATGGCTAAACTACCACCGTTAAGCCAACTTCGCCCGTCTTTGCATGTTGGCCCCTTTCCCCTCCTCTCTCGGGAGTCGGGACTTAGAAGCAACAGACACGGGAGAAAGAGCATACGCAGTAGCCGCGCTATTCACTAGCCTCATCGATATTCGTTCTTCTTCGAAACTAGCAAGCTGCAAAGGCGAAGGAGAAAGAGGGGAGAGGGGGAACATGCACCAAGCAAGTGGAGACGGGGCGCACACTAACTAGTGCCTATGATTTATGAGGAGTGAGGGGTCCGTCCCGTCTGGGGGATGAGCGGCGCTATACTCTGTAAAGTACAAGTACGATTGAAATAATTTTAATTGACGACGCGCCAATTTCATCGCCCGTGGCCTTGGGCCCCGTGTGAAGATGAACACGGGGTCAAGGCCAAGCACATGGTGGTAGGTTTGCGACAAGCACGCAGCACAGTTTCCTGCGGATGATTCGACAAAATAATTACATGGGAGCTGGGATCATAAGATTCGTCCTCTGCCTCTTCATGGAAACCCGAGCCAGCTAAGAAAAATCCTTGGTGGGTATATCTTCTCAGAGAGAGGACCAGGACCAATAATTGCTCAACGCATCTTCCTTTTTTGCACAGTTGGAACAGTTCTCTTGTGTGATGTTGCGTGTGTGTACGCAGTATGTGCTCACACCCAACTCAACTGAAATGGATGGTTAAGCCTGTCAGCTGCTGCCAACACACCACCTGGGCACAACGCAGCGTGGCCGAAATACCCACAACCCACAACCCACAACCCACAACATGGACATGAAATAAACAAAAATTCTCAAAAAAGAGCATGCGCCCGAAAAAACTCGACGGTCCACAGTACAACGCACACGCACACACAAAGCGAGGGAATTGTTTCAATTTAAATTATTAATTAATTACTCATGATTGTTCTGGCCCAAGATCAAGTCCTCCTCCGGCTATTCCCTCTCGATGTTGTCATGCCTGGCAATTTACAACACAACACCGACATAACCAATGAACTTGTGCGAAGAAGCCACCGAAGAGTTGTTGGGTGCGTGTGCAGAGTGGACCCCCATTTTCTTTTTTTATCTACTCTCTCTCCCCAAGACTCTCTCTCTCTATAGGAGCCATGGACGAAGCCAGAGAAGAGGAAAATCGCCTCCTGAGGTGGCTACTATTACCACCATTTGAAATGCTCCTGGCAAAAAATAAAGGAATTAAAAATTTTTGAAAAAAAAAAAAAAGGTAGATGTCTCGGAGAAATATTTTTGAATCAAGGCTCAATCTCAAATATGATTGGCTGAAAATTCATCAATATCGACCATTTAACCAACTCTCACGTTTTAAAGACAAAAATAAAAAACTTACCTAGGTAGGTATTTTTATTACGAATTTATTCCCGCAGGATTAGCAATCGGGATCAATCTATCAATCAAATGGCAAAAAGCAAAAGTCAAAAAGCAAAGGCAAAAGAAGTGTAAGAATACAGAGTAGTTAGCTAATCGCATGTCTCAAATCGCTTTCTCATGGTTTTTGTCTCCCGCAGCCCAAGGAAAATGAGAATTGAAAATGAAAACCAAAACCAAAGAAAAAACCCCGGTACCGAGGCGGGTTTGTGCAGGAGAAAGCCAAAAAATATCATGGGTTTCAATCGGGGCGATGCCTCAGTTCTCGTCTCAGGCGCCTGGCAGGCCCCCAGGCCCCCAGGCTCTCAGGCTCTCAGGCTCTCAGGCCACCCTCATCAGACTTCAGCCTGCACATTCCCTGTTCGCAGTCCCAGCGCTGTTTTGGAAGCGTCGTGCCATGCGCTTCGCAGGAATGTATCGGGGGAAATTCCAACAAAAATCCACACCCTTCACTGCTCTATTTTCCCTTACCTTCCCCATTCAGGCACCCTTTAGATTATTATATATCCACTCGTATGTTTATGTATATATATATTCCGTCATCAATGGTTGATCAATCAATCGCGTCCGCCAGCGTTATCCGCTCCCCTGCATTAACTTATAACTTTACGGAGTACAATTAAAAGACTTCGACACGGGAGCAGGGGGGAAGGATGGATTCTTCCCGAATCGGTTCCCCTTGTCTGTTGTCCTGTTCCCTGCCCTTCCCTTCCCTTCCCTGCCTGGCTAACCAACCTTACAATAATTGAAAAAATACCACCAGGTTGAGGAGGGCAAACGTCGTCTTTACGCTGAAGTTACAATGCCGAGTCGTAACATAAAAAAATAAGTTAATCGATACCGGTGCATCCGTTTTACACACAATCCGCAAGTAAAAAGGGAAAAGGGAAAAAAAAAAAACCAATTACACGCCGAGCTGCGCTATCACTGATATGAGCCTAGCGGAACCAGAAGGAACGCTTCTTGCGCTATTATGCAAGTCGGAGCATCGATGGTGCATGTTCGGGAAGAATGATAATAAAAGAATTCCACCACATTGTAACTTCGTTTCGAGTCGCAGAATTTACTCTCGTATCGTACCAGCTGTGGGACGCAGTGGTGGCGTGCTATTTTGGAAGAAATGGGCTAAGCGTCCCCCTGCATTCCTGCAACGTGTTGCAGTAGCGGGAGGGAGAATTAACAACGAAGTCCAGGATGGCGAGCAGCAAGGGAGGAGGAAGAAGAAGTAAGACGAAGAAGAAGAGACATTGAATAAGCTCTCTCTCTTCTTTTCAGTCTGCGAAGTATGGTGTGTGTCATTACTGCACACACGATTGATTATTGGGACCCCGTACTTTGGGTATTTTTCTTCTGAGTTCCTGAAGAGAAGCGAGGGGTTCGTGACACCCACCAACTCGCAAGCCCTTGCCTTGCCCTACTGCGTACAGGCTCCTGTGTTTTGGATGGATGGCTTGCTGCAAGCCATCCTTTAGCCTCCCTTCCCTTCCCCGACTGAGGAGAACAGAGAGAACAGAACATGCCTTTGGTGCTCGTTTCTTTTTCCTAGCCACCGTGGCAGCAGCGGCTAACACAAACATACAGATCTGTAGAACAGCTAATCGATGCACGCACAGAGTGGTGCTGTCCCACTGGGCGCCGTTTCGTTTCTTTCCTTTTCTTTTTCCTTCTGTGCAACCACCAGCTCTTCCAAGGTCCCAATCTGCGCTCTTCCACTATACCTCTGTTGGCGTAGTGCGGTAATCGACTAGTTGTTTGCTAGCGTCACGCTCGCCACACGCCATCAAAGGATGGGAAGATCAGGCTCAAGGAGAGGGCACCGGAAGCCAAGGTGAAAATGATCATATGGTGGCGTGTGATGATAGCTGACTATCTTCTTTTCTTTGTGAGCGGAGAGCCAAGGAGGGGAAAAGGTTGCGACATTTTTCTGCTCACTTCTTGCATCATCGCCATCGTCATCATCCATTCATCCATTCATTGTGCTTTTCCCTGTTCCAGCAGCAGCATAGCTGTAGCTCTCTAGCTCACTTGATACCCTGATACCCTGATACCCTGATACCCTGAGATACCCACAGCTACAGCTACATGTATGTGCAGTACATGCACAGTACCTTGCGGACAGTGGGATGCAGGTTGCTTTGACGACGAGGACCTTCCCTGGATGGACGGGTCCTTTGATTTCTATCTCCGTCCCATCTTCTTTACTGCGTCCACCTCAAACAAAATCTACGACTGTTACCCAATCCCAAAAGCAGCTACATACTTCTCGCTGCAGCTTTCATAACCAGTACGCGTTCCGGATCATGCGTCCCCATCGTGGGTGTATCATCATGCTTTGAATAATAATAAATAATTCAAACTGCCTATGCGGGATGCACATGCGCATTCCAAATTCCGCCCGTTCCCGTCCTCGCATTCTTCATCCAATTGACTCCTCCTACCTGTCTTGTTAACCGTCTTCTCTTCCCAGACGGCGAATTCGTTCTCTCAATGCAGTGGTATGTCTTGGAGCGGGTCGTTTTCAAGTAAAGCAATGCTAGAAACAAAAACAAAAAAAAAAAAAAAATGAAAAGAAAAATCCTCCGAGCCAAGTTGTTTCGACAAGATTCACCGAAGAAGAGCTAGTTTCTTTTTCCTTTTTATGCTTTCCTCCCTCACTAAACTTTTGACTCCGACAGCTCCCCCGCCAAGTCCCTTGGTCAAGAGGCTTTTACCTGCCTGCATAGCTTTGTCTGTGAGTTGGTTCGAACCTTTTGTTCTGGTTCGCTGATGATTTCATGCAGGACATGGCGTCATTTAGCACCAATGAGTAGTTAAGTTACGAACCAACGAATCTGCTCACGCTAACTAACCTACATGTTGAAGTTGTTTGAGTTGTTTACTGGATAGTTAAGCATTTAGTCAATACCTTTTTTTTTCAGCTGATGACCAACAGTGATATTATTTATATCTCTCTCGTTTTTGTTCCAATATTTTGTGTTTCAGCAGTCATCAGCTCCTTTGTGTGAGATCCTTAAATTTGGTCTTCTTTTGGCCGAATAGAGAGATGGATTACGAATGAATGCATTGCTGTACCTACAGTCATTCAATGGCTAGTGCACAGACAAAAACATCCAAAGGCTTTCCGTTTGAGCCCTATGCCCCGGACAACGAATTCCCTCTGATTTTTATTCAAAAGCCAGCTGGGTCTTCTGCTTTATCTACAAATGATCTATATTCCTTCTAACCTCCGGCGGGAAAACACCTACATGCCGGTCTGGCATACTTGCATACTTGTATAGTCGCTCGCATACACAATAGAACTTAACCCCGTTTTTAACAGCGGCAGTCACATTTAGAACTCCTATCCATTCAAGAAGGTGAGGCATGTCAAGCCCGGATTAGGATCGGAATTGGAATTGGAACCAGCATTCCAAGCAAGAACATGTTCGAGTATTTCTTAATAGTGAAATAATGAAAATTCAACACCACCCCCTTTTCCCCATCAGATCAGTGAATGGATTGATATACCAACTGACTCTTTGGGAAGTATGATTCTTTCCCAGCCTGTGATATACCGCCACAAGGCTGAGCTGCTGCGCGCTCTCCTTATATATGAATTTGAGCATGCAGAATAACAGAATTCTCTACGTATGCAAGATGCACTGGGAGACTGGTATCTAGTAATAACAGCAACAACAACAACAATAACAACAACAATAACAATAACAATAATAATAATAATTTGCTCGCCTCCATACAATAAAAGAGATGTTCATAGTCATTATGATGACGATGATGATGATTCTGCAAACTAGTTCACTTCTGAATCAGAACTTCGCTTGTGCTATTGATGTAAATATCAAGTGAGCAGCAAAAGCTACTAACACTCTCATCAAGAAGAAGGAACAACAACCAGCAAAAAGAGAAGGACGCCCACACTGGTTTGGGTTAATTCTGTTTGTGTCATGGAGAGAAGTAAATCAGCAGCTGTACAGTACATGTACTGTTCATTGTGGTGTTGTTTTTACCGAAGCACTTCTTAACTAGTTAAAGGGCGGCCTGGGTCCTATCTCATTCAATATATATATATAGTAGAACAACTTGATCTAGAGACATATCAATTCATTCCCACTTCTCAAACTTAAGCTACACAGTAACGCAAATACAATAATAATAATAATAATAATAATAATAATAATTGGTAAATGGAAAGCAGGCTGGGTGAAACTGGTCAACTACGAGTAAATAGTCAACTATTTTGCATAGTCTTACTAACACATATACGTGAGGAGTTAAGCAGTGAAGTCAAGAAAGGGCATTTGGTTTAATCTATCCAGTTTTTCCGCCTCTTGACTTGTCTGTCACACCGTCACCTCACAACCACTCTTACAAGTAGTGGGTGTGTGGCACCTTGGGTAGACTGCAACATGGGGGACACACATAACTAGCACAGTAACATGGTAAGTTCATGGAGGTTTATTATTTTCTTATTTATTCCTTGAAGGGGGCTGTCGCTGGTGGGCACGGGGATTCCTCGATTGAATTTGTTCTCCCCCGTATTTGTATGTATGTGGAGAGTATGTTGGTAATTTCCAACGGCTCGCTTCATTCCCCTTCAGAGGGCTTCACCTATTGAGTATAGCGAAATCATTCGGTGCTACTAGCTCATTGATTATTACGGGGCTGAGTATACCGCGTACGTGTGTGTGTGTATGGAGGATGATGTCGGTTGCCGTTGATCCGTCTCTGTGTTTTTTCTTTTTTCTTTTTTCTTTTTTGGCTCTGTCCACCACCATCACCATCACCACTGCCACATTGCTCATGAACACCTGAACATCTGAACGCCTCCTGAAATCAACCCAGCTGATCATTGGCCCCCGCAAGCTGACTACAACGACGGTAGCGCCGTGGCGGGCACGACAATCAAATGGAATCAGCTCACTCCATACCACGAGCCATACCTAATCTGAAGCCCAAACCTTCGCAGCCGGCCATACTGACTGGACAGGCCAAGAAAGAGTTTCTGCCGAATTTCAGGGTCCTCCCTCGAGGGAGCGGGGGGTGGTGCGCCAAAAAAAGCTAACCTTGTGTGCGAAATGTTCGCTGCAGAAATCCGATTCCAAGGAAGATAGGATAGGATAGGCCTTGGTAACTGTCTGATCGCCCTCTCTTCGCTTGTGTCCTCCGGCTTTCATCATCTGTTGCGACCCCAGCCGCCACTACCCCGGGATCTGAACGGCTACGGTTGTGCATCGTGCAACCATCGTCCCAAGACCGTTGAGTGGATTGCACAACTGGAATAGTCACAAAAGAAAAGAAAAGGCGTGGCAATACTACGGAGTAACATTCACACCCACCACCACTTTTATTGCCATCATGATTTCTCGGGCAGTGCAATCATGCCCATGTTGCCTCAAAATTGAGACCTATTATCCATTAGTCAGGAGTTCTATGGGGGGTGGGGGAAGGGGGAAGAGAGCATGTTTTCCGTCCAATTCCAGACACCATGGATAACAGCTGCTCCTTTTCCCCTCCATGTTGTTCGGCAGCAGAGAACGACAAACAAAAAAGCAATTTGCTTGATTTGGAATGACGAAAAAACCCTCTTTTCTCTCCCAATAAAAGAACAAGAAACTTGTATGCCGAGGCTTCATGCTGTGGCCATGATGAGCAGAAGAAGCAACTAATGAATTAATTACCGCCAGCGTTTTTTTCCCCGGATCTTGGCTCTGTTTTTCACTTTCTTTTCTTTTCTTTTCTTTTTTTGTTTTTTGGCCCCATCGACAGAATTTTTCTGATTCCCTCCAGTGGCCGGTAGTCAGTTACTCAAGCGAATGAGCGT